TCTATTACTATAAGATAAATTTTCGGCCCAGCCCCACTGAAGTGAAGCGGTCGATTAATCATTTAAATTCTCATAGATATAAGTGTAACAATACATTGTAACTCAAAAAATGACCCGATCCTACTTGGATGAGATTCGGTGCCACTATAAAGACTAGGTAGCTAGGTTTCCGACATTGAAAGAGTACATGAGCAATGGGTATTTTCAACGATGGTATGTCCATACTCCGCACATATGCTTTTGTTGATATGAGAGCAGAAACAGCCACATGGCAATTATGTCTTTCACTGTTTTATGAATCTAAAAAAGTAGGTAATTAACTTAATTGTTTAAGATAGTTTAATTTAATACATAGACATGGCAATTATGTCTTTCACTGTTTTATGAATCTAAGAGGGGAATAAGTGGATGGACCCTTTAGCTACTAGAGGACATTCTATGGCATGGGTTTTCATTTTGTTCATGTTTCTGATTCTACGTTGATGTATTGGATTCTAATACGATCGATGTTCAGGAGCTCTGCAAAATCTAATGAATGCAGAAAGTAGAGAGACGACGATTTACGTGGTATCCCCGTCAATCGACGAGACTAATCCACGGTGAGCAGAGCTCGAGTAGGGTTTTCACTATCGAGAAATTAAGCGCGCAGTAGATGCAACAAGTGATTCTAGGGTTTCCAAACCACATTTGTTGTTAATAGCAAGAGAAAAGAGCACCATTTCTTCTCTACAGGCTGTTTTTCTTTTTTACATTCGTCTCTTCCCCCCTCTTTTCTGCGGCAGGTGGCAACTATCAGATAAACGGACGACATGCAACTGGCAGTGGAGCCAAATATCAAGGTTCTGATATTTTTAATTTATGCGAAGACAAGCTTCCAAATTGCCGAAAATAGAGTAGAGACTTTTATGGTAACGTAGTTTGGACAAATGTCATGCTATTAGCCATTCTCAGCTTCGAACCTAGCTTACTGAGCCGCCACTGCCCGCCACCTTAGCCATAAGTCGTCATAGAAGCCAACTAGCTAGCTAGCTTATATATCGATCGAAACTATAACATATGATCCCCACTTCCATAATATTACTACTACCACTATGATGTCTTCTTCTTCATCACTACCGGTACTTCAGTCAGGTGCTGCTACGGCCGCAACCCATCGTCAGAAGAAGAAGAAGGCAAGCGCCGATTGGGTCTCATCAGTAAGCTTCCCTCGCACAGTATGGAGCGATGCCTTCCTCCACAAACCTCACCCCTCCCTCCATCACCAGGTTCAATTAATTCAGTTATACATATGGATTTTATTATTAATTAGTAGCTGTTGTTAGATATATAGCGCCAACGCAACTAATTACTAGAGGTATCACAGAAGCCGTCTATACATGTTTTTTTCACCGTACGTATATTTCAAACAGCTGGCTTATTGGAAATGAAATTTTCAAATCTATGGTGTTCTCGACTTTGAATAACTTGTGAGATTTATCATGAATAAAAGTTCAGACCCAGCAAAATTTTAATCTGCTTATTCTGATCAGGTGAACCCAAAATACAAACTTCTCAAGGAAGAAGTGAGGAAGATGGTGACAAATGAAGTAAAAAGTGGGGATGATGAGGCAGTAATCGCGGACAAGCTTCGACTGATCGATGCGGTTCAACGATTAGGTGTTGGTTATCACTTTGAAATAGAAATCGAAGAAACACTTGAAAAAATACATGACATGGGGGAGGGCTTGTTCGCTAACATTGACGACAAAGGCACTTATCTCTACCGTGAAGCTCTTCGTTTTCGACTCCTCAGACAACAAGGGTTTCCTATTTCACCTGGTATGTATGCATATATCTATATAGTTTTTGTTAGTTAGTTAGTTACAATTAATCAATGTCTGGCTAATTAAGTAAGGCCTCTCGTACTACATCAATCATGGATACTCATAATCGTTTGTTACACATACACATCAACCCTTCCTTCATGTAGAAGGGTTTAGAAAGTTGAAGAACAGCGATGGAAGGTTCAAGGAATGGCTGTCGAGGGATGTGCAAGGACTGTTGAGCTTGTACGAGGCAGCACACATGACATTCAATGGAGAAGACTTATTAGACGAAGCACTAAGTTTTGCGGCGAAGAGTCTTAAGTCAATCGGCCTCCCAACACACGAGAAGATCAGCCCTTCATTCCAAAAGCAAATCGACTTTGCCCTTCGTCTTCCCGCTTGGAAATGTCCCCCAAGGTCATTGGCTAGGCACTCCATAGATAATTTCTACTTAGAGGACTCTACCCTGAATCAAAACCTCCTCACTTTTGCAAAGTTGGACTTCAACATGGTCCAAAGCTTCCATCAGCAGGAGCTCCGAGAACTCTCTGAGTGAGTTATATATGTTTACTACTTCAACTTGCACATTAGTGTACTGTATTATGCATACTAATAATTACCTTGATCTCCATTCCTTTGTTTGACTTTTTTACTATATATAATAATAACATTGACGTGAATTAATAGTTGGTGGAAGAGTATTGACGTGACGACCAACTTCCCATATGCAAGAGACAGACTTGTGGAGAGTTACTACGTTTTCAATTGTGCTTATTTTGAGCCCAAATATGGAGTGGGAAGAATTATGGGTACCAAGATCTTTTTAGTGGTGACAATTTTGGACGATACTATTGATAACTTTGCTACATTTGAAGAGGTTCGGGCTCTCGTAGAAGCTATTGATGAAAGGTTCTCACTATACTACCCATATATATGCACTAAAATGGTTGATTAGATGATGAGCTTTTTTTCTTCTTAATGATTGATTATGTACGTAAAACATACATCTATATGTGCATATTGTTACAGGATGGATGTGAGGGCTCTCCATAAACTGCCTGACAGGATGAAGAATGTATATCGTGTCATCCGTGATCTGTATACCGAAATCGAGAGTGAAATTGGGAAAACAGGACCCACCTTTGGTGTCGAGTACGCAGAGGGAGAGGTAATGATGCATGTTATGATGTATATCTATATTTATTGGGTTTGTTTTCATCATGAGATAGATGTGAAACAACAAAAAATTAGACGTCAGTTAAATCTCACATATATTGTTATCCACATATATTGTAGCTCAAGAAACTTGCCCAATTCTGGTTGGATGAGGCTCGGTGTTACAGTAAAGGCCAGTTTCCGACACTGAAAAAGTACTTTATCGACGCATGCGTCACCGGCGGTATACCTAAACTCTGTGCATCTGCTTTTGTTGGTATGGGAGCAGAAACAGCCACTAGAGAGGCTTTTGAATGGATAGCTAATCGATCTAAAATGGTAAAAGCAGCCTCTCTTATCGGTAGGCTCCAAAATGACATTTGCTCTCATAAGGTAATTATTTCTATTTATTTCGTGAATCTTCACAATTAACTAGCCAACCTGAATATATTGTTCATAAGTCATCCGCGAGAACGTGCGCACGTACAATCGTCATATCGTGCACCGGACACTACATATTTGTTGAATGAGCATGCTAATATTTTATTTAGAAAATAATCACAACGTCCATTTAATGGTTGGGGAGTGCCCGACTCATCGATTCAATAGTTGTGCGCTCTAGTTAGCACATGCACACACACGATACTATGAGCATTTTAGAAAAATTGGTAATTAACCAGCTATTTAAATTTTTTTAATATGAAGGTTGCACTTCATAGAATTGTGGTTGTTTGTTTTTTGGCGCAGTTTGAACAAAAGAGAAATCATTGGCCTTCAGCTGTAGAATGCTACACAAAGGAGTGTGGAGTCTCGGAAGTTGAAGCAGTTGAATTTTTATGGAAGGTGATTTCTAAGTTATGGAAAGATATTGCCGAAGAGTACTGTCAGAAACCAACTCAATTGCCATCTACTCTCACGAATCGTCTTCTCAACTTGACACGTTGTGCCAATATCGTATATGAGAAAGATGATGATTACATCACTCATTCTCACCTTTTGAAGGATCACCTCAATTCACTATTTATCCACCCCGTACCTCTTTGAAGAAACCACAACGTTTGAACAATGCAATGTTGATAGTCCATAATGTGCTTTCTACTTGTTTTTTTTTAAAATGTATATGATGTTTCCTATTACTGCTTCTAGTCCTTGATTTCGCTTCTTTCTTTGTGTTTGTTGTGATTCCTAGCTTTCCTGAATGGTTATAACAGTTGTTGAAATTATTTTTCTCTTTTAATTTTATCAAATATCAAACCAAAGGTACGTGTGTGCTTAAAGCATCAACTTGTTGAAACAACTTACCGAATCCGAATTGCTCTACAAAAGGAAGGAAGACATCTTGGAGTTTCCCTCTTTGGCTTGGCAGATGATCAAATGCAATGGTCAAATTTTCGGAAGGTTATATAATCCTTTGCACTTCGCAAGAATTGATTATCTTTGAAAGAGCGGTATAGGGCTGGTGTACAAAGTGGGTTAATCAAGACAAGAGGAAGATGGTCTGTCTGATTAACGGTTTAACAGGAATGGATTTGGATCCGGGTTGTCATTCTTCACATTATGCATTTGTTATTTTATTTATTCTTGATAGGAAAATCAAATAAAAATAGTGTCTCCTATAAATTATTGGACTCTGATTCTAGGACAAGGACTGACAGGTAGCTTTAGGGGTGGCTATACGGTCCGGTCGGGTTAAATTAGACCAAATTGATCCGGTCTCAGTCTGGTCTTTTCGGAAATATAAGGACCAAAGATTGGATTGGATACAGTCCGGTCCCAATTTTATCTTGATTTTAGGTGTTGGGGGTCTTTTATCCGGTTTTTTACCTCAAATCTAAGCCCAAATATGATATTGCATTGTTTGCTATCCGGTGCCAGTCCGATCCCGGTCCGGGTTATATGGTCCGGTTTCGGGTAAAACCAAACAGTCCGGGACCAAATAGCCAGCCCTAGGTAGATTAAGAACCTCATTAAAAATATCATGTGGTCATCTTTTTTTTTTTCTTCCTTTGTGTTGTTCTGTTTTGCATCCCCTATTTCTGATTAATTCCCCTGCATCTCGGAAGTCTTCTCACCTAGGAAGAAGACGAGTATCAGAGATCAGTAAGTGAGTCTTTAGTTCCTTTCTCTTTGTTTATTTGTCTTTTAATTATTGTGGGCTCGCTGCTACTTGGGCGCAAATTGAAAAACAAAAGGAACGAGGCCACAGAGCAGATCGAAGATATCTCTTCCTCTTCCTCTTGTTCTTTCTCAATTTTGGTTTTTTCCAAATTCCATGAACCCTATTATGTTCTACCTATTTCCTGGTTAACAAGTTGTATAAGAGTCTAGTTGCATATCCTATTTTCCACCACCCATTCTAAATAGATCTCAATCATAGATTTTGTTCAATAATCTGAATGAGATTCTAGAGCTTGAAATGACTCTAATAATCCATATATCTCAAGTCATTATAACTGGGTATGATAATTCCCCGTTAGAATATGAAAGTAATACAAATACTTTACCCAATATTACCCAACAAATACCCAAATTTACACATGCACATATATGGTGGCGTCTTCCATGCACTCACTTTTTTGGGTGCATTCAGTGCACTCGCTTCATAACCGTCATTTTAAACATGCGATTTATGTCAAAATGATGTAAATCGTCACTTATGATGTGATGAACAATAACGCACAATAATTTGCACAAAAACTATTAAAATTTTACTTTAATTTGAAGGATTTAGAGTTTAGAGATTTAGGGTTAGCGTTAGGGTTTACAATTTGGGGTTTAGGGATAGAACTCAAAATTGGAGATCTAGGGCTTAGGGACCGGTAATTAGTTGTTATCAAATGTTATATCATCATATTACACTAATTCTACAAATTAAAATTCAAAATTCGACACCTTAAGACTAGTTTTTGAGTTGGATGCATTGAACACACTCGATGTAATGCCTAGTAAGCAACCTTGGGATGCATTTCCAAACCGGAAAGTGAAGGGCAAAGCCAATTTTCTTTTGGAATGAGTGGTTGAGGATATTATCTGTGAGGATTGACTTGAGGTCGTCGTCGTAAAAGTTAGGGTTTCATCCAATATGATCTCTCCATTGATCGTCATGTGCGTTGCCTCGTACAAGCTCACCAGTCCTTGCTCATCTGATGCCAACCCTTCCTTGAATAGTCCTTCATTGTCCTTCAACTTCTTAAATCCATCTAGAATGTGCATTATATGACAAAATTAAACGATGATTAAGTAACCATATATAGTTACCGTATATACGAAAGAGTTCATAGTAATTAATTAGTAATGGATTAATTAATCAAACAATTTATAACTCAAAACAATATGTATTCTTACCTAGTGAAACCGAAAAGCCTTGTTGTCTGAGCAGTCGACACTTTAGAGCCGCATAGTAGAGATCGGCAGTATTGTTATCATCGATATTGATAAATAAGTCATCTCCAAAAGCATGTACTTTTTCAAGGGCTTCATCAATTTCCATTTCAAAGTGATACCCGACGCCTAAACGTTGGATCGTATCTATCAGTTGGAGCTTGTTGGCAATTGTTGCCTCCTGATCATCATCTCCACTTACTGCATCATCCACCACCATCTTCCTCACCTCTTCCTTGAGAGCTTGGTACTTGGGGTGTCTCATTTTGTTAGTCTACAAAAAGTCAAAAATAGTTAACAGAAGAAGAAAAGAAAAGGGCAGTCGGTAGTTAATTAGATACATGGTAATTCTTGCTAACTTGCCAAGAATGTAATTTTTTACTAATAATTAGCTCGAACTATCGAACGCATTAACATGGTTCTTCAACCACACATTATGTTGTCTTTCGACTAAGATATATAGGTTAATGAAATATTCAGGTGCGTTTTAGGTAGAAGAATTCGATTTCATATTTGGGATTTGGAATTTCAAATACCAAATTACTTATTTGGATGCAAATAAATAGTATGTCAAATATTTGTCCAAATACATTAGCGGGTCGTTTGAATGCAGTATTTTGATGAGCTAATTTGATCGAAATAACTCAGAATGAGGTATTTCAATAAAAATAACTTGTTTGGCAAAAATAAAGTAGAATGTGGTATTTTGTGCATGAGTCAATTGAAATAACTCATTGTGAGTTATTTGAAATACCTACCCACCCCCTAGTTATTTCAAATACCTCATCTCCCAACTTCTTTTTCCACTTCATCCCTTCTTTAAGTGTTGAAATACCACAATATTTGAATGTTTTATCCAAACAAGACAATTACACCAATTACCACATTTCAAAATGAAATACCACATGAAATGCCACATAGCAAAATAATGCATCATTTGGATTCGAAATACCATAAAACCAAAATGATGCATCCAAACGACCCGTAGATGAATTTCAAATATATATTTATTATATACGCACTACAAGAAAAAAGGGTTTTGCCAACCATTAAAAAAGGTCGCTGAAAGATAAAAAATAGTTGCTGAAACACCTATGCGACTATTAAATGGCGTCGGCAATATGGTCGGCAAAGGACCGTCGGCTAAACAATATAGCGACTATTTACTTGAATGGTTGGTGAAAGTATGTTTCCAACGACTACTAAAAGGGGTTGCCAAATCCTCAAAATAGCAACCTTAGTTGATAGTAGGCTATAAAGCTCTGAAGCAACGATAGAAAGTAGTTGCTGAAAATGAACTTTTCCCAACGCCAACAAAATCGTAGCTTTTAAGTATCTAAGGCAACTGCATATATAGTCGTTGTAACATAGCCAAAAGCGACTACCAGAATAGTGGTTGGCTTTAATGTTCTTCAGCAACCATTGCCTATAGTCGCTGAAACATTGACAAAAACGACTATATGTGATATAGTTGCCTATAGGTGCCATTGGCAACCCTTTAATATGGGTGGCGATAGTTAACAATTTCGCACAAAATTCATTAGGGCTACTTTCAACGACTATTATCTATGATGGTTGGCCCTTTTGAGGTTTCACCAACCATATTGAAAGGTTGGATAAAGTACTGCACTGAGTTCTAGCTACTCTTGTATATGGTAGCTGAAAGTCCTATTTTCTGCAATTTATACATTATATGCTAGTAATTTTTCAATTTTTGTTGTACATATCTGACAAGAAATTGAAATACACAAAGCCATGGTTTCTAACATCATCACTCTGCAATAGTCAAATAATAATAAGATGAGTTTGTCTTAGGATTGAGAACACCAACTCCATTCTCAATACATACACGTTCATGTAGTTTATCATTCTGAATCCTAATATCAACTTGACTTAAACATTAATAGAGCCTACCCTATCCTTCACAGCTAATCTTCATGCCTAAATAATCATTAGTGGAGTCTGTTAGTTCAATTCTCTACACTAATCTCCCTACCAAAATCCAACATCAGGGAGTCCATTCACCCTATGCCTATTCCCTACAACTAATCTTCTTGCCAAAATTCAACATCAGTGGAGTCCATATCTCCATGCCAAAATCTAACACCAATGGAGTAGATATCTCCATGCCAAAATCACTTGATGCACTCCATCTGCAATTCCAACCAAGATAGAAAGTCGATTGATTTAAAAGAATAAAACGAAACATAAAGGACGGAGAAACCAAATGAGCATTCATGAGTGGTATTAAATGATAAGGACACACCATTGAAAAATGTACATGTCCAGCAGATAAATGAAAAGAATTGTGTACACATCCGGCAAAAAGAAGTGAAACAAAAGAAACCAAAAATCTCTATGAAACATCAAAGATTAAAACATTTTCCCAAGGTAAAAGAATGCCATTTTCTATAGCAAGCAGTAGGTCCTACTTCCATTTATATAGACATTATATTAAGGTGTATCTTCTCTCATTTCAACCCGTAGCTATGGAAAGTGAGGTGAGGGGAATAAAGTTAAGAAGGTCTAAAATCTATCAACCTCACTCCTAATTCACATATGCAGCTTCATATATACAAGTATATTGAAATCTGGAAAATTAAATCTTACTATTCACAATAAATTTCAGAACACTTACTAGTTGCCTCCTTTTTGAAGTTGTTGACGCATGAAGTGTTCAAACACTGCTTGTTTCTCATTGATTTGGTTCATGTTTTTCTCGAGGTGGTCACATCTGTCTTGCAAGCGAGTATTTTCCTGTGTCAGCATTTGATTTTGCTCAGTCACTTGAGTCACATTTTCTTCAAGGTTGGCACACCGCTCCTGCAAGCGGGTATTTTCTTCAGTCAACTTTTCATTTTGTTGAGTGACTTGGGTCATATTTTCCTCTAGATGTCCACATCTTTCATGCAAACGCTCATTTTCCTCTGTTAGCTTGTGATTTTGCTCCCTAACTTGTGCGCACTCATTCAAAGCACGCGTGTCGACTCTCTTAGGTGGGGGTAATGGCCCATAGCCAACTCCTATGAGGCATCCAGAATTAGATCCTAACACTTCATGAAATGCTTCATCGGCAGTCACTGGTTGGTCGCTATCTTTAGTCTCATCCACCTTCTGTTGCATGCGATTCTATAGGAAGAAGAAAAAAACGGATTTCACCATCCATTAGAATAATAAATTTGTATGAGGTTTATCTATTTATGAGTTAAATTCTGCATTTCACTCACATGTGCTTCAGCTGAATACTCATTCCTCCACTCACCAGTAATGGTGCATCTCACTTTTCTGAAGAAGTCAATCTTGTTATTAACTCCACTTCCTTCTTTATTTAGCTACTCATGTTCCCCATAATCACATAAAATAAATAATTATTGATTTTAATAGGTAATTGGTAGCCATACATGTTAATATAAGGAAAAGGATACTAACCAGCTCATAATACAGAGGAACCAAGGGAATCGGTCCTTGGCAATTGACATGTTGGACCATATTCCTGTTTTCCGTGTTCTTATCACATAGTGCCTGATATTAGTTTTTTTCATTCATTGTGAGGGTTCAATGACATCAAGTATGATTTATATAGTTTCCAATCATAAAAGGAATAATCACATTAGAAGACAAAAAGAAGTTGAAGGGTATAAAACAACTTGTGGCCAAATAGAACTAATATAAACAAGGCGTACCTGTACTTTTGGAGTGGCCCAATAGTCACATAAGTCATACCATATCTGTTGATCTAGACAACGTGGTTTATGCTCCTTTGCTGTTTCATTATAGCGACGGTATACCTTCCGATAATAGCTTCTTCTACCCTTCACAATCCTCATGAATTGCCTCCAAATATGACCTCTCACCACAATGTCTCCCACATTGACAATATTCAACTTCACCTATAATAAGGTACAAGAATGTAAATAATAACTAATACAGTTGAAAATAACATTTAAGTTTATCATAAACATGTAACGGCCATCCTTACCTCCAGCCTCAGAATAACTTCGTCAAGAATACGCCTCCTTTGACCTTTTTTTGAAATTGGCCATACATAATCAGGGGCCAGCTGCCCCAATTCAGAAGATACGGCCAAACTACCCCTCCTAGTTAGTGAACGTCCAAGCATTGGATCTATCTCCACTTCTAACTTCTTTCCATTCCTTTCATTTTGTTTATGTAGGGCAAGTCCACGTGTCACTCCTCTTCCTCGCTTTCTTTGTTTATCATTCATCCCTTTTTATGCAGAAAACAAGCAATCAACAAAAGATATGCAAAACAACAGAGAACTTGCTCTTAATATGTTGCCAATGCATGAAAACATTAGGTGGAACCTATAGCAAAAATCATAGTAAATTTGCAATAAACACATGCATACCAGCATCAGGAGGTTGCTCAATGTTCTCTTCTTCGACAAACTCGGAGGAGGGTGTTGTTGTATTGTCTTGAGTCATATTTGGTGTAGGTGTAATCGGTGAAGAAGGAGAAGGACTTCTTGAGTTGCTCCCGTCTATGGAAGATGAGATACCAGCTGTAAAAGTACTAACAAGATAGTATGTTTACTGTACAGTTTATCGAAGTGCTAATTGTGACTTAATATTCGGCTTAGTTACCTAGCATACTTGAAGAACCACCAAGTAATGTCTGTGTTCTAGATAAAGACACCCCTTTAACGAACACCGTGGATGTTGTCTTTTGTTTTGCTAGGAAAGTAAATCATATGAACAGGAAAAATATTATATATCCAATTATACATTGTGAATGACCAGGTTTGGGAAGGAATCATACTTTCAGCTAGCATACATAATGAATAGGATCATTGAAATAACGAAAGTTCAACCATAACTTTGTTAGCTAGCTAACTTACCTTGTTTCGTGGCATTAGAAGACAAGAATGCACTTCTTTTCAAGCTTGGAGAAGGAAGTACAGTAGAATTGCCAACTCCACCAGAAGATGGGATTGGTATATCCGATACAGAGTTGCGCTTGGGAATTGAGCCAGACTTCATCAAAGATGGAATGCCTTGTTTTCTCATTTGAGCTTTTTTTGTGCTAGACATACCCGGACCTGAAGACATCGCGTTAACCTGAAATGAAGAAAGAAAATTAGCATGAAAAATAGGTTCATACACGTGTAATGACATGGTCAAAACTAACAAGCCATCTTGACTCAAATAGTACAAAGCATTAATAAAATAGCTTTTCAGAAGTGACCAAGTTTTGGTGAAACAATTATACTAATAATGCAAAAAGGAAAAGCAAAGCCAACTCTCAGATTAAAAATATGAATGCAAGAGACGATTGAATAAAGACAAAATAATTAGTGCAAGTATTAAATTAGTTAAGCATCATCATTATTACTATCTAATCAATTCTCATATCCAAGCTCATCGTCCTCCTCTTCACTGCAAGAATCTAGAGAAACGTCTTCTTTGTCTACAGGTGCAGTTGCAATTGATGGTACATCACTTTCACTTCCACTTTCATGATCAACTTCTTCGTGTGCATCTTCTATTTCCATCTCTCGTTCCGATGCAGTTCTCTTCCTCCTAATCACAACATCAACCACTTCTGCAGCAACATCATCTCTTCGCAATGATACTTCACCATCAATTTCAATGCTACCAACCTCCGGTAAAACATTTATTAACTCTTCATCTTGGTATGCATCTTCATTGTTGCTCATGTCATTAGAGATCTCAGGGTCATCTAAGTTCTCTATATCTCCAGAAAAAATATGACGATGGTTAAACAGTTGCACAACTCTCCAATTCAGCCCCAACTTAGGATCATTTGTGTAATAAACTTGCTTTGCCTGATTAGCGAGCACAAATGGATCACCCATGTACCAAAATCGATCAACACGAATACTAGTAATTGCACCATCATTTACTATTCTTGACTTCTGTCTGTCCACATTGAACCATCCGCACTTGAAGAGATAGACATGTTTATCCCTTAAGTAGTATAGCTTGATGATCTCCAACAAAACTCCATAAAAGTCGATAACTTCATCACAATGATTTCCTTCCACAACAACACCACTATTTTGGCTTTTAAGGCGGCCTTCTCGATCCTTAGTATGGTATCTAACACCATTGATGATACAACCAGTATATTTGTTAACACAAGGTAAGGGGCCACGAGATAGTGAATCCAAAGCCAATGTTCTTTCGTCTTTATTTGAGCATAATGTATTTTCCATCTACAATCGAAAATATCAATCACTAGTCAAATGCTTAGTCTAAAAACTATTTATCACATCTTAGGGGGACAACAATGAGTTTATTTAAGTTACCTGTTTTCGAAACCACTTTGGAAATTGCTTTTTATATACATCATGCTTTCTCACCAGATCATGAGCTTCAATGGAATTCAAATGCTCCCTAAAAATGCCAAATATGTATAAGAAATACACATTGAAGAAACGATTATCATTAATTTTAAACCCATCATTACCAACTTACTCCATGTACGGTTGAACATCTTCGCAATTGCTAAGCACGTACCAATGAGCCATTTCTAATTCTTCATCAGATAATGGCACATATTGCGAACCACCAATTGGTCGAACTTTGGTCGAGAAAATAGACAAGTTTCCATCTTCTTCAATGTCATAGTTTCTCTCGGGAGCATTAAATTGTGTCTCGATTCCATCCAAATACATCGAACAAAATGTCAAACATTCATCAACTAGATACGCCTCAGCAATTGAACCTTCTGGATAAGCTCTATTTCGTACGAACCCCTTTAAAGTGCTTAGAAATCTAATAAAGAAATAGTAAAGGATTAACCTTCCAACACTTATTGAGAACATTAGGAATGCTAAAAGAAGCTCTTTTGATTCAAAAGTAATCGCACCTTTCAATTGGGTACATCCATCGGTATTGTACTGGTCCACCAAGTTTTGCTTCATATGGCAGATGAATAGCCAGATGCACCATAACATCAAAGAAGGCCGGGGGATAAATCATCTCTAGCTTGCACAAGATCATGATTATATCTTCTTGTAACTTGTCCAATGCCTCTACACTTAACGTCTTGCAACATAAGCGATGAAAGAAATCACCCAATTCAGCTAAAACATTAGCGACATGTGCATCCATACCTCCTCGTACCCCTACAGGTAGCAATCTTTGCAAAAGAATATGACAATCATGACTTTTGAGCCCCGTAACTTTTCCTTCAACAACATTGGCACACCGAGAAATATTCGAAGCATAAGCATCAGGAAATTTGACTTCTTTCAGAAATTGGCAGAAGTCTTTCCTCTCTTGCTTTGTCATTGTATATAATGGAGGAGGCATATCATATCTCCCATCACTTCTTTTCACAAGTTGCAACTCCTTTCTTATCCTCATCACTTCCAAATCTTCTCGTGCTTTCACTGTATCTTTAGTTTTCCCAGGGATGCTTAGTAATGTCCCAACAACATTATCGCATATATTTTTTTCAATATGCATAACATCCAAATTGTTCCTCAATTTTAAGGATCTCCAATAAGGAAGTGTGAAGAATATGCTTCTTTTCACCCAATTTAAATCCTCACAAGGCCGTTTTCTCTTATCAAGAATCTCAGGATGTTTGCCAGGAGGCCTCGCTGTTACATACGCAAGTTGTTCCAAAATATCATAGCCAGATAAGAACACAGGAGGTGGTCGCATCTCTTGTTTTCCATTGAATTTTTTCCTATCTTTTCGCCACCTATGTTGGATTGGTAAGAAGCGTCGATGACCCAAATAGCCAATTTTGCTCTTCAGTTTGTGAGATGAACTATCTTTGTTACAAATAGGACAAGCAAGATATCCTTTTGTGCTCCATCCCGATAGATTACCATAAGCTGGGAAGTCATTTATAGTCCATATCAGAGCTGCATGGAGCTTAAAACTACATTTAGAGTGGACATCATAAGCTTGTGTTCCCTCCAACCACAACTCTTGCAGCTCATCAACCAAAGGTTTCAAATAAACGTCGATATCCTTTCCTGGGGCTAAAGGGCCAGGAATCAACAAAGTCAATAACAAATATGGCTCTTTCATGCACATCCAAGGAGGTAAGTTATATGGTGTAAGCACAACTGGCCACATGCTGTACGAATTGCTCATATTGCCAAAAGGATTGAACCCATCACTTGCTAGTCCAAGTCGCACACTACGAGAATCGGCAGCAAACCAAGGGTACTCTGCATCAAAGTCCTTCCACTCCTTTGAATCTGCAGGATGGCTAAGCAAATTCCCATCATCATTACGCTTTTCTTTGTGCCACCTCATGTGTACCGCAGTTTTGCTTGACATGAATAATCGACGAAGTCTTGGTTTCAAAGGAAAGTAGCGTAAAATCTTCCAAGGAATCTTCTTTCCTTTTCCATCATTAACTTTCCATCTAGAAGTTTTGCATATGGGACAAGCTTCTAGTTTCTCATTCTCCTTCCAATACAAGGCACAATCATAGGGGCATGCATGAATGGGAATATATCCTAAGCCAAGGCTACGCAGCATATTCTTAGCCTCATAATACGAACTAGGAATCAAATTACCAGTAGGTAAAGCGTCCTTCAACAGCTTAAGCAACATATCAAATGACTTGTTGCTCCATTTGTTGTATACTTTCAAGTGAAGTAACTTTACCACAAATGATAGTCTTGAATATTTATCGCAACCAGGATATAACTCCTCATGAGCTTTCCCCAATAAAGCTATGAATTCTTCGTATCCCTTAGTCGTTATGTCATCTCCATTGTTCTCATCATTATTGATGAAACTTTGATGTTCGGCCAAAAGATCAAAAAGGTCATCCTCCTCTTCATTATCCAAGATACAATCAGAAAGATTATCATTCACATCAATATCATCCATAGGTGAATTGAAAGTCTCTCCATGGTGAGCCCACTTAGTATAATCAGTGTCTATCCCGTTGATTAATAGGTGTGCAAACACAACATCTTGAGACTGGCGCAACGCATTTAGACATTGGTTGCAAGGACATCGAATGTCTTTATCAAGACCTATATTGTTCTCAACAAAGGACATGAAAGACCTAACTCCCTCCACATATTTTATACTGAACCTCCTTCCCTTCATCCATGATCTATCCATCCTATTACCAGAACATTAATTATACTTTACTATCAAAATATTATTCGAGAGAAAGGAGTAAAAAACAAGGAAATGACAAGATTTGTAGGAGTTTACGAGAAGGCAGTGAAGTGCATAGAGAGAGTGGGAGAGAGACAAAGGAGGGCAAAGTGTGGTTTTAGTTTATTTCATTATTGACTTATTATTATACAACAAATGGGTAATGTGAAAGTTAGTTAGAGAGGATTTAAGCATATAAAGTGTCGGTTCAGGGACTTAATAAAGAATAGAAAACCCAGTGCGATAGAAAGGAACTATTATAAGTATGAAATTTGCAGTTGAACCTATTCAAAAACACATGTCAAGCAACTACAAGAGACTATCTTGAGCAAGTAACCAGATCTAACCTGTAAACTAGATACGAGCCAAACAGTCTGAAACTTGATCACCAAGATGCTAGCTTATCTCCCACTTTTCTTGGATGCTGTAAAAGCATGCAACTTAGTTATAAATGGAAGAATACAAAGAAAAGAAAACATAAACAACCAATCTGCCTTTAGTTCCTACAAGTCTAACTTCAGGAAAGACTTTCGTTGTCAAGCTCTCATCCATGCCACTCATGTTATGATAGTTATATATCTTCATGCTTTACATACCAAATACATTGACTGATTTGTTTTGGATGTCTAAGACTAAATTGTTATTAAAGGAAAAGGAAAGCTCCAACAAAAACAGAACAAGAAAGAATACTTGCAATGAGAACACAACATGAGTTTAAGAGCAAAAACTACAAAGGAGATAGCAAAAAGAAAACTATAGCGTGCAATGTCATGAGGCCGCAGCACATCCTTGTTCATGGTAGGCTGCAAAGAGACTAGCATGAGGGAAAAGCCCATAAATGACACCATCAGACACTGATGCAAAACAAGTTTTTATCATGAAAACACACTATGAATTATCTTAATCTTAACAAAACAAGTAATTAAGCAAAAGGGTTGCATAATAAATAGACACCTCACTAGGAACAAAGAAGGAAAAACAAACGAGCACTGGTTAGGGAGAATTAGCACCATCATTGAGGGACAAGAATCATAATTTCCTCTACCAATAATTGATAAAATCCAGAAACAAGAAAGAAGAATTTTCAAAAACCCCTAGCCAGCAAAGATAACCGAGATAAAAAATCAATGAGTTAGAGAAGGAGGAGCTTTAGGTCATGATCGAGTGAAAAAAAAATCCACATGATAGTAGGTCAGATTTAAACATTTGGATAGAAGGATAAACATCATTCTATATGGGATATAATTCACAAGATAAAAACAATGAAATGCACAAATTTAACAAACACAATGTCATTTACCTTCCACAAAACAGCTTTCCACTTCCTGTACAACTTGTTGTGCGGTCTTTTTTTCCTTTCTTCATAGAAAAATGTACATTTATAAATAAAAATAGAAGAAAGAAGAGTAGGTTAGCGATGAATTTTCAGTGAAGGTTCTTGACTGATCATACCTGAGATTTAAGAACTAGGTTCTCAAATGCCAAAATCCTCTCAATCAAAATTTCTCATTTTGGTAACCAGGTCGAGGGAAGTGATGGCTGGGGACCATCATCGGGGGCAGTCATCGGCAATAGGAGGCAGTGGTAGAAAGATGAGTTTGGGGGTATTTTTTTGTTTTCGATCAACAATGGGGAAGAAGGAAAATGAGGGATCTCGGTACGCAGATGGAGAGTGAAAAGAGAGAGAAAGTACTGAAAGTGCCTTCCCTCTTCTTTATCTGGAATAGGAATTTAGGCCTTTTGCTACTATAACTAAATATTGTGGGCTTAATACATTTGGGCTTAATTCATTTTTTAAACAACCATTAAAATGACGTGGGCCAAAGCAATTTTGTACAACAACTTATACGAATTGGTTGGTAAAAAACAATTGCACATGTTTGTCTTCTAATTAGTATGGTCGGCAAAACAAAATAAAGTTGCCACAAATGAAATTCATTTACCGCCAAGAAACTCAAAAATGCCGCCTGTTATTTTAGACTATCGGCGGCTGTTAAAATATGGTCGCCCACATTATACATTATTATATTTAGTCTGAAGCTCAAGTTTAGCACAACCATAAAAAATAGTAGCCCAAAGTAAGCTTCAACAACTATACCACTCAAAGTGGGTTAACTAACAATTTCAAGCGACAACTACAGGAAATCGTTGGTGCAACTAGAGCTTTAGATTTATATATAAAAATAGTTTTGACCTTTTTGGCGACTTTAAAAAAATAGTGGCCCAAAGTCGATACAGTACCAGCTATATATCAATAGTCGCTCCAATTCACAGTTTTACCAACCATTATGATAGTGGCCTGAACTTTCTGTTTACAACGATCAAATTTAGCGTCGTCAAAATATATTTGTGGTCGCTGGAAAAAAATTTCATTTGCCGCCAAGAATTAAAATCTACCC